TGTTGTGATTTGTTGTGATTCAAAGGCGCAGACTGAGGCGTGACAGTTCTTGGACGATTCAGCATAAAATTAATTTTTTTAATCATTTAGTAAGTGTTAGAACTTTGAGAGTAGGTTTCAGATTTTTCTAATTCAGAGATGAAAAAATAGCTACTTATTCCTGCTATGTGCAATCACCAGAAGGCCGTTGTCATCACGGTACCTGCTGCAGACTTTTTGCCCTGTGGTACATTTCGCTTCACTTTATCCTTACTAATATGAGTGTGGCAGGACTTTGAATGTTGGATTAGCTTCATATCTGCAAACAAAGTGTATCTTCTGTGTTTACTTTCAAAGCAACAAGTTCATCTGTTTAAAGAAACCAGTGAAAGATAGGAAGGTAACACTGCCTCTAGCTGGGAAGTTTCCTGTATTGGCTACTTTGACATGTGGGTTTTCTTAAAATATCAGAAGTTGTTTAATATTTTAACTCCCTTCTAAAACCAGTGAAAATGAGCTGAAGGTGAAACTTCACATGCTTTTCCAGCATCAGTATATAAGCAAGGCAGGGCATTATGCAGGAATGATACATCATTTTCCAAGTAAGACTGCATCTGAAATATATGGGCTGTTTTTTTTTTCCTTTTTTTTTTTCTGTTTAAATGGTTGTATTGATACTGTTTACAGCTGAATAGTGAAACCAAATAGATGTGCCTTTAATTTGTTTTTAAATGATCTCTTATATTCTGGAAATGATAATCTGAAGGGTGGCTGCCATAGTAATGTGCCAGTCACCATGGCATCTGAACATTATGAAAAGACATTCTGGGTTGCACAAAGACAATGCCACCAATTCCTATTTCAAACTGATCAAAAGTGCAGGACCAAGAAGTTTGCCTATAAATGTAGCTCCGTGGATGGCACTGCAATTGAGAGTTTGCTTTAGACAATAAAGATTTTGATCCTCCTCTCAATGCCAAGTGAATTTATAAGTAAAATCCTTAACACAGACTTGGTCCGTTTACTGTGCTAACTTTTTTCAGTTGTGTGAAGAGTGTGGCTGTGGAGGAGCAGTTCACAGTTCACAGTTCTGCTTTATATGAATCTTTGGAACTTTTTCCTCCTCATGGAATTTTTTACTTCAAACTGAAATTAAGTCAGTTAATGAAGAAAAAGGGGTTTTCTATACTCAATTGGTAAATACTGTATTCTCTAAAACATTTTACAGTCTGCTTTCGTAATAGTACTCTAAATATCAAAGAAACCAAAAATCAAATCATTATTTAAAAGCAAGCTTATTTTATCTTAAATAATTGATTGTGGCTTGTTGTTTGAAAGAGGACTACTTTGGCATGAATTCCAAATCCAGTTATGATCTTAACTCAAGCAGTTTGTTTAATCAAACATTACTCTAATCAGTCTTACATGGTCCCCTAGCCAGCCAGGCCTGCCTATAACAACTGGTTTATTTTGTGACGAGTTGCTCAACAGATGTCATTCTGGTAGAATAATGCAGCAGAATACTTGTGCGTTGGCTAAAATTACTTCAACTTTGATCACTTTTGTCCAGCACATCAGTCTGGCATTGTGCTTTATACCAACATAACACTTTACCCCGAGCATGCCTTTCAAGCTTAGAATAGCAGAGGAATGTTATTGAATTCAGTGCAGTTACAGATGAGTTAATGAAAGAAGGGAAATACTGTTTTTTTCATAATGCCTTTCTGTTGTATTTTGGAATTAAAAGGGAATTTGAGGAATGTGACTTCCGAGTTATTTATTTTTACTTCTGAAGGCTTTTTGAAAACAATATTATGTAGTCCTATTGATCCCATGTTTCTGTAAATAAGTTTCACTTGTTATTTAAAAATAGTGCACTTTAGAGTTTTATATCGTGAAAATAATATTATTTCTGGTGTGTAGCTGGAAAATAAATATTTCACAGGGACAGTTTATCCTGGTTTTTAATGCAAGAAAACTAAACCAGTAAGAACTGTGTTCTCGTGATCACTCACAGATTAGGATTGTTACATTTTGGGTTGTTGTGGGGTCAGTATGAAGCAACATTTCTTTACAGAGCCATCAAGGACACTATGAGGAAGCAGTAAAATCAAGTCCACTTGAATTGCCGATGAATACTTCAGTATTCTGTGTCTTAAAGACTCGGTGTTCTTGTTTCAGTGTTAGTTAAAATATAATTTTAATTTTTTTTTTTAATTGAAGCACAGTTCCCAGGTCAGTCTCCCTGCAAAAACTCCTGAACAAAACCAACATTAACATGAAGGTTATCATGTGTACATGTAATTTACCAGTTTTAGGAAAAAATAGAGAGGTATGTTAATGATTCTAAAACATACAGTGAATGCAAAGCTGAGCTGAAAATCCAAGCTCAGCTTGTTATGATGCTGAAATAGCCAGGGAAGAAACCCACATGGTCTATCTTTCTTCAGTGAGACACAAGACTGCAGAGTTGGAAGGATTGAATCTCACTCTTGGAGAATAAGTTGAAGCTCTTCTTTCCCACTCACCTGTGCAGAATATTTATATTCAGAAAGCTTTAAACTGATAGTATTGAAATTATTATCTGCATAGCCTATGTATGAAATCTGTTCAGAAATGTGAGACAGTGCTTCACAGTTTTTCCTAAGGGGCACTTTATTAGCATCAAATAACTGTAGTAGTACTAAAAATAATGAGAAAGAGCAACAATAACTGAAGATGTGAAAATACAGTAAGGGCAGTGTACTTCGTGTTGGATCTCAATATGCCCTGAATTGTCTCAGTTGTGGATATTTGTTGACAACCTTGTGCCATTAGGAATCTTTTGAATAATGTGGCCCAAATCAACATTTTGAAGAAGAATATGTGTGAAAATCCTTGCCTTGTCCCTCACCCTCCTTAGGATCTTTACAGTGATTAGAACAATTGTTTCACTGCTTAATGTCTGCACACATATTCTTCATTCATTTATTGTTGTGCAGAATTTAAAAGAAAAGAACTCTGGAGCATTTGTCTCTAAAGATGATCCAGGGAAAGAGTTTTGGTGCTATTTTAGTATGCAAAAATATTTTTAGATTAAAATCTATTGCCAGATGTTTCATATATATCCTGTACTGAAAATAAATGACGAATTTTACAGGGAGCATATGTACTTTCCATATGTTTATATTACTTTGGGGTCAAACTCAACTGTGCTTCAGTGTTGAAGATATGTCAAGTACTAATTAATAGGTAGGATCAAATGATATAAAATTCCTCTCTTACTGTATTATCGTCCTAAGAATGGTAGTGTAGAATCATCTTTCATTCATTTTTGGAATATGAAACCTTTATCTCAATGGATTATGTTAGCATTTACCATTTTGGCAAATTTCAGCTTTCTTTCTGATTATTACAAACTATTTTTCTGTTCAGAAAAGTTGTTAACTCAGGGTAAGCACACCAGACTGCAGGCATGGTGCTAGCTCAAAGATCTTTTCCTGCTGACAGCAATAATACAGTAAATTTAATTTTTTTAATGGAACTTTTAGTAATTCTCATAGCAGAAGTTAGAACACAATTAATTGCTGTTTGTCTCCTGTTGACAAGTAAACAAGTGAAAATCTAAAGAAGGGATCAAAGGACAGTTTTTGGAGTAGCCTTGTCATTTGCTTTAAGTCAAATATTATCTAATATCTTTTGGTTTAATGGGTTCTTGTGTTTGTTGGTGTTGGACTGTGCAGCCCTCTCAGAGCCAAAACCAGGATGCAGAACTTGTCAGTTATTTTGCCTAGATATGCTCAGATATTTTGCCTAGAGAATGGTCATACAAAATATTATCTAAAAGTATCAAAACTTATGTTTTATCTCTTTGAGAATGTTTTTCTGGATGCAATATAGGTTGTTGGGATCTGTCTAGACCTTTGAAAATGTGGGAAGACCTTGTATTCCCATGTAGCAGTTTTATGAAAGGCAAAAAAACCTAAGCTGGGGTGGATGGGGCTCTGGACAACCTGGTGGAGTGGAAGGTGTCTCTGCCCAGGGCAGGGGGCTGGAATGAGAGGGTCTTTAAGGTTCCTTCCAACCCAGACCATTCTGTGATTCCTGTGAAAAACCACCATGGCTCGCTGGAACATTTTATTGTTCACAGTTATGGTCCTGCTGGGCAATATTTATATTGTTTGTGCAGTCTTTATATTCAGATGTAAGACATTATTCAAAATTTTAGATACCACTCGCTGTCCTAAGTACCAAAATACATCTTTCTGTGATTTAAATAATAGTTTATCACAAAGTCTCTGATAAAAATTGCCCGCTTTTCTATCTGTGGTAATGTTTTCATGCAAAGAGTTTTATAACTCTTGTATTCAAAACTTTCAACTCTTTCTTCTTTTTTCCCTCCCTGCCTTCCTTCTGTTAACCATCATGTGACATGATGAACAGTAGTGACTTCTAATTTAATAGCATGAGAAAAGAGTTGATATAAAAATTTGTTACTTAGCATTTGGTTAATAAATATTTGAAATATGTTGTCTTAGTTGAAAATGTGCTTATTAATTAATATTTTCAGGTTTAATATACTCATTTTTATTTTTGGATTCCATTTAAGAAACTTATGCAAAACTCATTATATTTCTTATTTGATAAGACTTACACCCAATATGTTCAGGTGACAATTAACTAGAAAACCATGAAGCAGAATTTTTATTATTACTTTCTGCTTCCCTTAACTTTTTTCAATACTTTGTAATACTCTTTACTTGGAAATTTTGTATTATAATTTTTTTTTGCACATTTAGATGTTGAAGTAATAATAAATCATTTAGAATGGTAATTTTTAGATCTGATTTTTTTTTTCCTTCAACTCAGTTTCTTCAGTTGCTTTTGGCTGTGTAAACCTGCTGACCACATCTGAATCTAGGAGCATTGAAGGAACCAGTTTTACAATAACCAGAAAAAATAAAAAGCTTGGGGCTGTGATGAAAGCAATGCCATTTGCCTTTTTTAGAGCAAGTTCTGATTTATTTTTATTTATTTTCCAGGTAAAGCGGAATGTGTATGACCTGACCAGTATCCCTGTCCGTCACCAGTTGTGGGAAGGTTGGCCACCTTCTGCCACAGACGACTCGGTGAGTTCCTTTGCTTCTCATCTCATTCCTTCCTAGAAAAGGAAGATTTTACATGGATTTGTGATTGGAATCACTCAGTAGCATTTACTGTCTCATGTGCAGAACCTTAACATTGCACACATTCAGAGTTTTGTCATGGAAGGTACAAATGCTCAAGATTTGCATGACTGAAGCTCAGGGAAATTATTCTTGTGTATCAGATTCAGTGTGTGTTTCACACAAAAAGGAGACATTCTAGACTGAAGCAAGAAGGAGACATTCTAGACTGAAGAGATTCCAGTCTGCTCAGTGTTTTGGAAGCTGAAGTCTACTGAGTGACTGAACTTCAGGCAAAAAGCCCTGATTTTTCTGTGTGCTCTGAGTGCACATTAAATATTTTTCACAGTACATTAGCTCACCCAGTTCATGCTCAAGCCTCTGCCTGGCTTCAGAGCAGCTGTTCCTGCTGGAATCAGTGAGGGGATCACCACCAGTGACAGAATCCACTGACTCAGAATTGCCCACAAATTCATGAAATTGTGGGACTTACCTGCAGTATCGCATTAAATGTTAGACTTGCTTCCTTGCATACTCATCCTTACAGTGTGTTTTACAGCATGTCTTTCAGTTTTGCTCAGGATATTTTCTTCTGCTAGCATGTTCCCAGTGCCAGCTAGTGAGGTCTGCCTTTCTTTAGACAAAACCCCAACTTCTCCACTAAAAAAATGCCTAAAAGGGTTAAATAATTATGTAGTTATGTTATATGTAGATTTTGTGACCTGAGAAAAATGTATTTTATTGAATTTGAATGTTCTACAAAGTGAAAATGGATTTGGAGTTTGTTTTCTTACATATTGCTGTTATCTTTGCATTACTTTCCTGTCCATTTCTGCTCTCTTCTGGTAAAGGGAGAATTTCTGTTTGAATATGACTGCTCCTTTTTACACTCTGGATAAAGGATTTATGCCAATTAAAAAAAAAACAAATCAAAAGGCAAAAGCTGTCTGAATTTCCAGTGTACTTGTAAAATACATCTGTGGTGGTGTTTGCAGAAACAGTATTTAAATTTGAGAAAGGTGGGTAAATCTCAGTCCATGTATTCGAGGGCAAAACAGAATGGTGTCATGTGGTGATTACAGGCTTTGAAATGTGGATCCATTTTAACATTTTATGAGTTTACATTAGCCCAGAAAAGAATTGGAAGCTCAACACTTCTAATCTGTTTTCCCACAGCTGTTAGATTTTCACATATTTTTTCCACTCCTTTTCTTTTGAATAGGATACCTCACATATGTAAAATGCATGAATCTGCTTTAAGTCTTTTTTGACAAGTGACATTGTTGCAGGTGAATTTTGCCCCTTTTCATCTTTAATGAAATTGGTGAATGTTGAGTCATCTGCTCTGAAGCAGACGAGTCCTCAAAGCTCACTGCTGGAGTCTGGTGGAGCTGGAACTTGTCAGCTGTGTAAACAGATTTGAGTGTGTTGCCAACAAAAATACAATTAATTTCTGTCTAAAATTAGAGGCCATAGCTTACTATTTATAAAGATTTAATGATAGCAGTGACTATATATGCTCCTGTGAGCTGAACTTTTTTTTCCAAATTAAAAATATTTGGTAATAATTACTTTAGTAATTAATGATGATCTCTTGAGTTCAGTGGCAAATTTTAAGATCACTTTTTCCATCATGAGTTCTTAATTTGCTGTCTTATAGGGTACCCCATTGCAATTAAAGAGTTAAAAAAAGACTTGATTAAAATACTTTTTCATTTGCATGTTATGCAGCATAAGAAATACTTTGTAATACCACAGGAGGTTTTTTCAGTGCAGTTCTCGTTAACCTTTGGCTTAGCAAACAGGACAACTAAATAGACTTGGCATAATTGGATTCCTGTATCATCTTGAGTCTCTTATGAACCTGCCAGACTACAGTCTTCTGACATTATCAGGAAATTTAGTGGAGTCAATAGTAATTTAAAACATTGTTGCTTCGTCTCCCTTCAGAGTTAAGATATGTTCTCTGCTTGTACTACCTAATGGAATATGGGATACTGTATGAATTGTCAATAACTCTTTCAGATCCTTTTGCACACTTTCACCAGGGAAATGGGTATCAAAACCTCCCCGTGCAGGAGAATGTTTTCGTGCTGTGGTGGTTTGATTGTGGGAAACAAGGCGTACACAGGCCGCGCAAAGCTCGTTTCACTGCTCGGCAAGGACAAGTTGGAGCTTTTATCGAGCCTGGATAACTTTAATGCCACAAATTATATCTGTTCTGCTCATTAAAGTTCAAAGTAAATGCATGAGTTTTAACTCACTCTTTTTTTAAAAAATGTAAATATATTCAAAATGTTAACTTATCTATTTTTGCACATATAGCATATACAGTGAAGTCTTGAAAATAATCCTAGAAAATAAAAAACCATAATTATACTTTGCTTTAAATACATTCACAATATGTTCTCAATTTTTATTTTGGATTTTGTAACAATCTCAGCGTTGCAGAATTTATAAGATGAGAGCCATGCCAGAATAATTTAGTAAAATTTCTGAAATTTATTCAATTTTTTTTTGCTCTATTGGCTGAACTTTTAGACTATCACTCTTAATTACCACTAGTATCAAGTGGAATGAGCAATTTTCAAATATGTGTTCACTGTAAAAAAAAAAAATCTCAGATCTCTTGCAGGTGATGCTTTAGTTACAGTTTTTGCATGGAAGCAATGTGATTTTATTTATATGTATGGGTGACTTATTGGATGTTAGTTGTACCATGTGTATGTTTGAGGTAAAAATATTTTGCCCCCCCTGAGGTCACTGGGTTTTGATTTATTTCAGTAGAATGAGTTGTCTGTGATGTTTCAGGGGTATTTTGGTAACAGAGAACAACACCCAATAGAGGAAGAAGGAGACAGGTTGCTTTCATGCTGCTTTTTATTCTTGGTATTTAAGCTACAGGTTTTTTTCTTAATTGGTTCATTGTTTTAAATCGTTTCAGCACAGCAGTGAGAAATCCTGCTTCTTTGTACGTAACGACAGTGAGCTTGTCAAAATGGAACATATTTCTGCATTTCCTGTAAAAGTTCTAGGGTGAGGTTTGAGGAGGGGAAAGGGGAGAGAGACAAAGCCAGAAGATGAAGTGCCCAGTGTTGTAGCTGTGCCCTGGCACGTGGATCCCATCCAGGGGAACTCAGCATCCAACCTTCCGCCTGTTCCCAAAGCAGTGCGCTTGGGCGAGACCTTGAATCCTCCTTTCACATCAAGTAACTCTGCTTCTTCATGGTGTAGCTGAGCCATTGGATATTTGCTTGGGCAGATGTAGGTGCACACTGACAAATTACTCAGCCGTGGTGCTGAGCAGTCACATTTCAGGCAGGACAGATGTGTTGCCACTGACACGTTGAGGGTCTGCATCATCCCTGGAACACAGCCACCTTTATCCCCTGTGAACAGGACCACCTTTCCTTCTGTGGTGGCTGTAGCAGATGTGGTTGACATTCCTTGGCTCAATTTAATAGACAATTTTGGGCTATAAAAAAAATCTCATATGCTTATGGATGATCTAATTAGCATTGCTGTTATATTTAGCTATTTCATCGCTAAATACTAAGCACGGCGTCTGCACAAATAGAAATTAAGAATGCTGGTAAATAAGGTTCTGGTACAAAGTGAAACCATTTATGACACTTTTTGGCTGATCTCCAGGTTTTTGAAGAGGTTGAGTATTAAGCATCTGAGTAATTAGTATTTGGGAGTATATATTTCTTTCCCTTTCCAGGTCTTAACAGTTCTTAACAGAAAGTTCATTACCACATGCTGTCATTGTGATATGAAAACAAGTTGTGAGGTTTGCATTCACTGAGTGTTTAATTGTAATGGATGCCATGTCTGCCTTTACTGCATCATTTGGAGTCTTCCTTCTGGAGCTAACTGAGTAAAGAATGGATAGTCCTGACAGAGCAAGTGCCTACTAATCAGAAGTAAAATTTGCTATTTTTAACTTATAATACATACCTCATTAGAAAATATTTCACTTTTTTCCCTTGTAAAAGTATCATAATTATAGTTTGCGATGTCTGTAATATTAATTACTTTGTGTGTTACTTTCATTTTGTGATTCTCATCAGTCACTTGCAGTAGAGTATTAGAGTGGATCTGGATCCTTATATTTTAGATACATAGAAGAATACTTGAAGTCTGTTTTATTGTGTGGGTTCAGGAATATGGTAAAGTTTCAATTTCACATTTATACTATCATCTCAATTTAGTAATGAAAATTTTTATACAGTCCTCTCAGTCTTGGAAGTTCATAGTAATCTACAAAGCAGCATATTACTCATCATTAAGAAATATAAAAAGTAACTGAATAATTTAATAAGCAGGTCCTAAATGTTTTTGTTTTAGATGACATTCTGACTTTGGCTCAAGGCTTGCTTGGATGCTTTTATGTGGATTAGAGTATGATGAATTATGTCCTTTCCCCAGAAAAACTGAGGAGTTTACTATGGGTCCTTCACCACTTTTTTTTAACCCCACCCCCTTGACTATTTTCCATTTATAAAAGCTAAGATAAAGTGATTTGAACTAATTTCATGGATGTAAAAATTACCTTGTCAGAGTTAATCAGTTCTGTGTTAAGTTTTTACTGTTTTGCCACAGGCAAATTTATTTAGAGTTGTCCAATTTTAAGACACAAGATAACTCAATTGAAGTGTCTTGCACTTACCATATTGGTTTTGGGAAGGATTAATTTCCTCACTGTGTGGTAATGAGTCTTACAGAAGTGCCAAAAATTGTACTTTTATCATTATAGTTAATCCCCTTGTACATTATATTAAGAAATTCATGTCAGTCTAGTGGTTATGACTTAAAAAAACCCCAAACTTCTCAAACAATAACACCCCCCCCTCAGAAAAATAGCAAATAAAAAAGGAGGAGAAACCCCCCGAACCCATGAACTTTAAATTTTCAGCACCACATTAGGTGCTGAGGGAGAAAAAAAGTTTGCTGTGTTCTGC